AACCGTTAACGAACGGGAAAGCTCTGCAATTTCAGCAAATCTACATTTGTCCATTAGCATTCCGCGGAACACATTTTCAGAACCGTCTAACATTTGACACGTGTTACTGCCAACCGTGCGAATGTGCTTGACGTAGACAGCGCTGGGTACATGCTCGCGTACACACATTTCCTAGCATCCATTAATGACTGCGTTCCAAAAATACATTCCGCTTCCTGTGTTTTTTACGCCAAAAAACAAATATGCACAGTCACGCTTCTATTTCCCCCATTTTCACCAACGTCGCTTGCCTTGAAATATTACAAAAATACTCGAGCCGAAAAACGTGCGAAGCGCACGCTTCTGTGGACAGAATTTACACGAAAACTACTTCCGAATAACATTTCGATCCTTCCCTTATTTTCCGCAAATATATCGATCGTTGGATGAAACGTGCTGCGACGAATTGTCGATAAAGCGTATTTCTCGACTAATTAGCACAATTCCCCCGAATATGCAACTGAAAAGAGGAAAGAGTATTCTGCTCTATCGAATGAAACTTTTATACGTTTCCGTAACGAAAAATTCCAATTCAGGTATCGTTTCTATTGTTTCACGTATAAAAAGTATCGCGTTTCCAACGATAATCCATTTTTCCAGTTCTTCCTTCGTATTTAAAGTCGCTGTTAGGGCGAACTCGAGCCCTGAATATTGCACTACGTGCCGTCTATAGTTTTTTTTTTTTGAAGGACCACCCAAAGGTTGATAACGGCTTTGGGAACGTAGTAATGTGTGACGCTTCTGACTGTCTTGTCTTCGGGGTTTTGGCCTGTGTTACCGAGTCCTAATTCTATGAACTAGCGAAACACATAATTAAAAAGGTGAAAAATGGAAAAACTAATTTTGTCACGTACCATCCTAATGCTGGTGCACGGATGGTACGCGCATTCAACAAAGGTCTCAAAGATAACTACCTGCCTGCTCCGTGTCATAAACCTCGACAAACTAAACTCTAACAGTCGATCTCTCCAAGAAAAACTAAACGAGGAAGAAATGTTGTCCCACACAACAAGAAATTAAATAATATCCTCCCGTTATAATTTTTAAACAGCCTAGTTTACCACGAAATTGCTCGAACAAGTCCCTTCAATTCCCTCTAAAACACTCCGAGATATTAAGAATCGCGCGTTAACGATTAGGCGCAGAGTCACGTCTCGGTTCCATCCACGAATTCCATCGAGATCGGCCGAAACTTGAGTTAAAACGAGATCGCGTGCGACGATCGAGGGCGAATCAAGTGTAACGACTTCGAATGGAGCCCCGCGCTTTTAATACACGGTAATCGCGGCGCGTATCGCGCGAATGTTCGCAATTCGCCGCCGTGCATTCCGAACGGTTCATTACGAGAGCACGCGAAACGGAACGAGGCTGGACACGGTTTTCAATTACCACGCGTAGCCATCGTAAAGCCAGGCCGGACGCGGTTTACGACGGACATTAGAACGTCGATAAAGATACCATTGCGCCATGGTGAACGGCTCTCGCTTCTATGTTCGCGTTACCATGCATCAGGGTGGTCTGTGCCTCTCTTCCTATACTCTGTTATTGCAATCTCTCTCTTTTTTCTTCTTTCAAACGAACCACAACACCGACGCTATCATTTTTCATTCGGATAATGAGAGCTGAGCTTGTCAATTTTATCGGTTCTTTTAGTTTGAAGACGGTTTTTTTTTTGTGTTACGTTAATTCGAGGCTTGATCAGTCGATGATGAATGTGTTAGCGATTTGGGTGAACGATTTGCTTCGTGAATTTTTGGAAAATAATACAATATTAAAAATTAAATAATAGTAACAGTAATAATAACAGAGATTAGAGATTGAATAGCGGTTTCTATGAATGATTTGTTTCATGAATTTCTGAAAAATAATGGAGATTGGAGATTTAGAAAATAATAAAGATGACGAATGGAGTTGAACAGTGGTTTGTATGAATGGCTTGTTTCGTGAATTTTTGGAAAATAGTAGAAATTAGAGATCTCGAAAATAATAAAGATTAGAGATTTAGAAAATAACAGGGACTCTGTGAATTTGTTGTAATTGCTGTGTATTGTAGCAGCTTTTAAATAATTTTCAGTTAGTTAGTTTATTTTAAGGACACTTAAGAACACTTCGAACAGAATGTACCATTTGCATTAGTTAATATCACTAAAAGTGTATTTCACTTCTGAGCTAAAATGCTGCATTTATTAATAAATTCAGAAATTTTACATACACGTCTGATGTAATAAAAACGTATTAATATTCTTATTATACAATCCCTAATTTGTTAATTGACAACCATAATTCATTACTGAAAAGAAAGGATTTTTATTTTGAACTATATTACCATTTTTACATGAGAAATTAAATAATTCACGAACAGACATTAACTCATCTTCCTTAATAATTAATTACACGAAACAACGGTTCATTAATCTTTAGATTCGCACGTTAAGGAAAAAATTCTCTTTCGACACATCCTACTATGTTAAATTACGTTAACACGTATATAGTATCGAGTAAGTAACGTCCAATTTATCTCCTTTATTTTCATACACCTGTAAAAATCGTTATTTTACCAGTAACATAAAATGTATTCGCCATTATTGTCAATAACGTAAAACTAGCATAAAACTGGCAGTGTAAAAGTTCGAAACGAATTTGTGTATCTGGCCGGTGTACCTAACGTCGTTTCTATTCGGTATATCTCGCAGTAAAACGGACCAACCTAGTTCCAACATTTTTTATTAGATCATCTTCGATGTGCTACGACTACTACCAGGTAGTAGGAGGAAATTTTCTCTCTGATTAAAATAGAACCACCTGAAGTGACTGTTTCATTCTTATTTAGTATGTTGAAATACGTAACAATTCCATCACATACACTACCGGCCAAAAGTTTGGAATCACCGAGCATTGGAATTTACATAAAAATTTCCAGAAGAAAGTCAACGACTTTGAGAATTTTTTATCATTCGAATCAATTGATATGAGATAAATTGATAAATGTAGAATTGAGATAAACTTCAAGTCTATAAAAAATTAGCAGCAGATTTAATATCGACGAAGAGTTGGAGGTGATTCCAAACTTTTGGCCGGTAGTGTATATTAAAGTTGTTTTTCAATATTATTCAGCCTGGCGAATTTCACACTGAAATAAAAATCACCGACGTAACTCAGAGCAACAACTGAGAAAAATAAAAAGCAAAATGTCAGTCCTAAGAAATTCTCGAGAGAAATAAAACCAAAATATCAATCCTAAAAAATTCTTGGGAGAAAGAAGCAACCAGGCTCCAACACCGATTCAACATCATCCGCGAAAAATTCCTCGAAATCGAGCCCATGTCTCGTACACACTGTACAAGGCAATCCCCTGGTTCCACAAAATTCCTAATTAACGTGAGATGCTGGCATGGTATTTCACGTGTTAGCATCAGCCACGCCGAAGACCAGGTCGAGGGTGTCAGAGATGGTATGCCTGTTAAGTATGTGGAATTGGGTTTATTACTCGTGCAGGGGCGTGTACTATTTCAGCAACTATTTCAAGAAGCCAAAGGCCGAGGGCCCGTGCGCGCACATGGACGATGCTGTTCCATTTGAAAGTCCCACGGGCGCGCAAGAATAGTCGGAATTAGCGTCGAATATCGTGCGAAATTCCGGTGCTCAAATTCGGCGAGGAACGAACGGCGTTTCTGATAAAATTCAACGCTCACCGTCCCTCCTCCGCCACCCTCGACCCCTTCGCTTTTCTTTCTGCTCGTTGTCGCGTTGCACCGATCCTCTCGGGTGAGTTTTGAATTTTCAGTTTGCAGTCGAACGGGAGAATTACTCTCATCGTTGCAATTCAGATATAACGCGGACGAGGATGTTTGGACCGATTTTCGTATGCTTAACCCAGTCTAATATAATTACGAATCAGGGCGAATAAAATTCATATTTTACACGTAATTAACAGATCGTGTGTGACTAGTTTTAAAGCACAGTGCACACAACCCTGCGTCACAGTTCTGATAATAATATCTCGTGCCTTTTCAACTTTCTTCCTAAAAGTCTCTCTTGGGCTAAACTGTCGAAGGGTTAATGTGCGGATTTATTTATTTATCCTTAACTCGTGTAATCTGCTATATTTCGCATTA